TGTCCCTGCTGACCCCAACACTCGTCCTGGAGATATTAACATTTCAAAAGACAACGAGACAAATTCTGCTCGCAGCTACATCCTTGTTTGACTTCAGTGGGCGGGGAAAGGAAATCTGGGAGCAGAATTTGGTTCTTTAACTTCGGGAGCCATATCAGTCGATAAGAAGCACAAAGCAAGGATTTGCTTATCCAAGGCAATTATTTTCCAGAACTGTACCACAGATGCCAAAGTTGGTAGCTCTCTTTCCAATTACACGTTTGCCCTGCTCGCAGCCAACTCATCACAGATTTTAAGCAAACAGCGGGGGTCCGGGAGGGGGATTTTCAGGAAGAGCAGACAGAGGGGTTTTTCTTTTTCTTCCCCCCCCCCCCCCCCTTTTTTTAATTTTTTCCCCTAGATTCTTATGAGGAGCAAAGGGAGGGCTTTGGACAACTCTTTGGGCTTGGAGACGAAAGGCCGCTACTGCAGGAACCGGGTGTAACAAAACTTGAAAACTTGTCTCAGGAATTCCCTCCTCAAGCGCTGCTGCTAGCTGCTCTCCATGCCAGAGAAAGGGAAGGGTAGTTTGGGTCCAAAAGGTTAAGGGTTTAGAGGTCACTCTTCCCGGCTGAAATACAACTAATCGAATAGAAAATTTGTCCTCTGGGTGAACCTGTTCCTGCAATTTAGCCGAACTTCAGTAAAATACCTTTTCAGCTTCTCAACGTGAAGGCGTCAGAAAAAAGACGTCTTTACTATGTATGAACTCGGTGCTTTTTGTCATAGAAACAATGATGCGAATAATGCGGGAATATCCATCTTTAATATCACGACGTGGAGATATTCAAGTATTGCCATGTGCAAGTCTGAGAACTGGGCTAACCCTAAGGAAGAACAAAGAGTTTTCTCCAGGCTCTAAAACAAAAGGCGAAGTCTTAAAGACACTTTACGGACTTCTAGGGATGAGAAAAGGGCAGAAATTAACCGCTGGCCACAGTTAACGCTGCCCAATACACTCCTGTTGAAAAGCTCGCCTTCTATTTTCGAATTCATTCAAGCTCATTTTGGCCAGTGTTTTCCCGAGCGAGCCCAGAAAGCAATGAGACCTCGGTGTGAAGCACCCAGCCTGGAGATGGGCATGTTAACTCGCTCCCTGCTCTTTCCATCTCCCTGCAGCTTTTGCTCTGGTTTTCCTTCTTTGCCCCTTTTCTCTTTAATAAACGGATCACCTCGTTACAATTTCGATGATATGGTCCCTCTCCCAGGCTGCCCTGAGGTTACAGGAGATAGGGGCTGAGCTCAAAAATAGCCTGAGCGGAGATCTAAGAGGCTGAGGGAGCTGTTTTGGCTGGGTTTGGTAGTTAGAGCGCACTAAAACTTTGGCACGATGCAGTCAGCAGCCAGGGAGAAATCTGTGACTATTAGACCAGTTCTGCTCCCATCCAAGCCTTTTCCCTTTCCCTGAAAGCAACTTGCTGAGATTTCTAACCATTGCATTCATGTGTTGTGGTTTGCTTAAAAATAATCACTGTTCTAAAAACCAAAAACAGAACCACCAAAAACCAAGCAAAAAACCCCCAACCAACAGACCAAAACAGTGCCAAAACAAAGCATGAACCCATCAACCCACATAGCCTGTCTCTCTCTTGGGCAGAAAAGAAATATAAATCTGATTGAAATAATGCGTTCAGCTTTCAGCTTTGGATGGCTCAAGTAATATCAGAAATTGCATTAATTTTTCACTCTGGGGTTTTCTCTTTATTTTTTTTGGTGTGGGGGTTGGGGCTTTGTGGTCTTTTTTTTTTCTTTCTTTTTTCCCCCTCCATTTTTAAAATGAGGTATCGATGGTTTAAAGCACAGCGCTGAGCAGAGCAGACTTTGGAAACAGATTTCAAGCCTGTTAGCCCTGGATGGCACACGGTAAGGAGCAGGGACGCTTTTCCTATTCACAAAGAAGTATATTTTTTAAAAGGGACAAGAAAGTTGTGTACGTTCAAGACAAGTAAACAATACACATGTGTTCATGAGACTGGGAAGGAATAATACTGTATTTCAGCTCCCCTTCCCCGTTTTTGGTTTTAACTATTTTTTCTTTTTATCTTCACTCTTCTAAGTAACAAATAAATAAATACACTAACACTATCAGTACATAAAATAACCCGTTTTCACTTAATTCCTATGCACACCTCTGAGGCGTTATGGAAATGAGCAAGTATTTTCATTACACCAAGAAAGGTAAAGCAGCACAAAAAGTTCACAATTGCTAGTCTTTATGTTCAAATAAAAGACTATGCTATAAATTTCCTGTCCTCAACTTGCCCAAATGCATCCTCCCGAAATTGCATGGGATAAAGATACAATTAAAAGTAAAAATCCCAGAATAAAGCATCAAACCTTCACTTTTGAATTCAAAACTGAAACACAGGACAGTTTCATTTTCAATGATTTATTACTTTTTATGGACAGAAGGTCTCGTTTAATATTTTCCCAATTCCCACTGCCTGCATAATGTTTCTCTTTTTTTTTTTCTTTCCCCCTTCTTTTTTTCCTTTTTTTAGGTTGTGCTAGCAGAGGCAAATAAAATAAAGTCCAAAGTAGCGTCATTTTTTCTCCTTTGTACAACAGTACCTTAAAGAAAGATGACAGTTTCTCGAGTCCTTAGCTGCTACATGCAGGTTCTGCTTGGGCAGTGTCAGTTATGTACAGTACTGATCAGAAGCGAAGGATGAAATGGAAAATTTCACCTCTTCTACAAAGTTGTCAGGTCAGTCTGATGGTCCTTGGAACCAGTCTGTAAATGGGGGTTTGAACCAGAGGAAGACGATCTGCCCTTCGTGTTGGGCAGTTTGTGATCTTTTTTCCACTTCATTCTTCTGTTCTGAAACCAGATCTTGATCTGGCGCTCAGAGAGACACAAAGTGTGGGCTATCTCGATACGGCGGCGCCTGGTCAGGTACCTGTTAAAATGAAATTCTTTTTCCAGTTCTAGGACTTGCTGTCTGGTGTAAGCTGTGCGGGAGCGTTTAGGTTCCCCTCCGTTGTAATTGGGATTCACTGGGAAGAAAATACGGAGAACTTTACAAAGCTAAATCCTCACTTGCCGGTTCGACTTTACAAAAGAAAACCTTACGAGCTGCGAGCATGTGGCCGGGCTGGATTCGTCCCAGTTGCTTACAATGGAGGGGCTGCTCTCCCCCTCAGTTAAGGCAGGCACTGCAGGCACACGCAGCTAGGTAGGCTGGGAGCCTCTCGCAGGCTCCTAAAATGGAGTTTTCTCCTGCACGGCAAAGCCCCGCATGGCCAACGGCCTATTTCCTCAGCAATAAAAATTTATGACGAGTGTAATTGGCTACCTCGGCTTAAAAAGCTCGTCCACGAGTCTGGCAGAGACTCGAGCGAGCATCGCTGAGGACGATCAGAAGCAGGGTAGAAGAGCAAAGTAAGAAGAGGATCCTTACCCGAGTTAACATGGACTTTCTTCATCCAGGGATAAACTACTGCTGGCTGCTTAACTGCTGACCCGTTTGGGGGTTTGAGGGCCGGCTGCTGGCTGCAGGCTGGGGAGTTGGACATTGGAGGCGGTGGACAATGCTCTGCTTGGCCGGGGAAGTGGCTCGCTGGGCCGGATTGCTCCTGTCCGTGACCCCGCGGCTGCACGGCAGAGCCTTGGGCATTGCTACAGCTAAAGGGCTGCTCGCTGTAGTTTGACCGTGGGTAGAGTCCCTGGTGCTGGAAATCAGAGCCCTGCGAGGCACCGTAGTACTCGGCCCCCTGCTCGCCTAGGTAGCTATTCTGCAAATATTCCTCGCAAGGAGGAAATTTGGGATCCACATACTTGGAGTTCACCATATACGAACTCATGGCCATTAATTTCTGAAGGTAGAAAATACTAATTTTTCTCGTGTTGTCTTTTTTTCCCCTGCCATAAAGCCCTCCTACTTGCTGTCAACTGAATAAAGTTAGGCGGGCATGTGACCGGCCCGGCCAATAGGGAGGCGGGAGCCGATCACCGGATTTCTCCGCAGCTCAGCATTTCCACCAATTTCACTCAATAATATCCCCGTACCCGAGTGACCCCCCTCTCCGGCGGGTCGCACCCCCCAAATCAGGTCCCGGAGGTGTGGGGATGCTCCTGGGGCGGCGGCCGCCTCCCCGGCCCGCAGGTAGAGCCAGTCTTTTGTCTGAGCTGCCCTGGCTCAGCGGGATGCTC